CCCCCCCCCCCCCCTCAGTGGTAACACCACTAAGCAGAACCGTAATTAACTTACTCGTACCTGTAGTGGAATCAGTTCATCTTTAAACAGCCTAACAGCTTGATCAAATGCTTGTGATTCATTTGAACCTTCCCCAATCAAGTTCATGCACTTGTCAACAAACCTAAATAAAACAAGGTTTAATTAAATGAAATATAGTTTTAATGTGGAAAATAACTTGTTATAACCATGACAGCACTGGTACAGGCTATGAATTAAGGTAAATATTGCATGGAATTTAAAGCAAAAAAGTTAATTAACCCACTGAGTCACATTGTGCCCTATTTTATTTTACTCTGTCTAATGCCAGACAATTTTACTTATCAAGGGGAGAGTGCTGGTGCTGAATGGGTTAACTGGCCTACAGTATCTGCCCATGTGTCTAGTTAACCCATTGAGTCGCATTGTGCCCTAAATTCGCCCTACTTTATTATTTTACTCTGTCTAATGCCAGACAATTTTACTTGTCAAGGGAAGAGTGCTGGCACTTACTGTAATGGATTAACTGGCCTATCGGCCCATATGACTACAAGTTAACCCATTGAGTCACATTACACCCTGATTCACCCTACTTTATTATTTTACTCTGTCTAACACCAGACAATTTCACTTGTCAAGGGGAGAGTGTGGGCACTTAATGGGTTAAATAATTGTAACTAAAACATACAAATTTTGACATATAGCCTTGCTAGATAACCAATTACCTGTCACATGTACTGTGATTCCCAGCTTCCTGCCACAGTGAACAAGACTCTGACTCATATTCTGTCAAGAATCTCCTGTTGAAGGAAAATGAAAGCCCATCAAATTGACTCTCCTTGATGAGTGACATTGTCTGGCATTAGACAAATGAAAATAATAAAGTCAGGTGCATTTGGATGCATTGCAGCTTATGGGTTAACAAGGTACATTGTCAGATAGCTTGGTCAACCTGTTAATGTGCAAGACTCTCCGTTTGATGAGTAAAATCGTCAGAAAAAAAATCAAGAAGAAAATAATAAAGTCAAATTTATTTGTTTCAAAATGTTTCATAAATAAAACCAAATGACTTCAGATTATTTTGCTAATTAAACAGTAGATTGTTGCAATAATCAGAAGTACTACCGATTATTTCATAATGGGCGATTAATCAGCTTGGCCAATCATTTCCTGATCAAACGGCTCATCGCTCTCTATGAGGGGTGTCGGCTTATTTAAGGTCACTACAACTGCTACTGTACATAGATCATACATATAACAGACACCTTGAGACCAACACTCCCTGTCCACTGTTTGAAGCTAGGTGTCCGATATCTAAAGGGCCCTTAAGGTTTTGTGACAGTTGAGATGACAGTGCCCAGACTGCATTTTCTGCACCATGTGCAGAAGATCTTCTGCGCGCATTTTTATGCTTTCTATATATTTACTATTAAATTTTCGAAATCTCCGGCGTGAAATTTCCAAACTTTGCAGTCTGGGACAGTGCAAGATATGGTGATAAATCCCAAGCTGCTTACGTGCGTATAGAATCTTCCGGAAATGTTATCCTTTTTACATTTCCGCGTTCTGGCTGCCTGTCAAAATCAGCTTCAACCATTGGTGGAAATGTTGCCACGACATCGAACCATATTGGCTTCTCTTTGAGCACTCCCGATTTCAACAAGTCTCTCACTCTGAAAATACAGACATCTTTAATAAACATGGCATCTACCAGAGGTTATTAACAGTACACAGGTAATGACCAGTGTACTGTACACTGATCGTCACCAGAAATTAGCGTAGGAACCAGGGGAGGCGTAGGAAGGGGGGGGGCACATGCCCCCCTCCAAATTTTTCAAAGGACCAAAAGTGCCCTTTTTGTGATGAAAAGTGCCCTTTTTGTACAAGCTAACGTCACTGTAAATACTAAATTAACATCAAAGGTGCCCTTTTTGTTTGGAAATTTCAATGTTTTTTTAAAAAAATGGTAAAAAATGTGCAATTTCAGTATGGTATATTAGTATAACGGGAAATTTTTCCCCCCCCCCCCCCCATCCGTCGCCAACATTTCTGGGAAAACTTTTTTAGGTGCCTTTTCAATATCCAAGAGTGCCCCTGGTGCTTGATGCTTCCTACGCCCGACTAATTCGCATGGCCTTCCATTTTGAACAGAGAGAACATGGGGTGGAAATATAGCAACCAGGCCAGTGCTTACAAAACTAAACATGAAAAAAGGAAAATGAAAATCTCTTCAGACCTGTATGCTTCAAAATATCAAATGCCCAATATAAAATGAAATGAAGAATAAATTTAATAATCTAACCGCCATTTGCGAAAGTGAAAATAAAAACGAAAATCAACAGCCAATACCTTGCCAAAACCGTGCCTTTCAAGTGCCGAGAACTTGCCATAATCTTAGATATTTCAAAAGTTTATTGAAAAAGTAATTTTGCTAAATCGGCAGCCATTTTGAAATTTGACATTTGGGTACGTCATGTTAGATGCAATATAGTTTGACGACCCAAAATATGGACCGAGGTTGAATATTGACCCGGAAATCCGGTAAGATTACAGGCATATATTGCACACGAGGGTAATATGGCGTGATATCGTACGACACACTCCCGTGTTGTTTATGTTTTGCTGTATAATTTTTTACAATATACATCACAAGTAGACGCAAAATGTACGGAATATTGTATATTCTCCTCTTTCAAATAACATTACTTGACGCAGCAAAAACGGACCCAGAAGTGAATTTAAATGTGGTAAGATTTTTAATTTTGATACATTTATATTTTTGTATGATGTACCTGTACGTCACATTAGCATGCATGCTCGGAATATTAATAAAAGGCGAACATTCAAATTATAATCTTCAACGGTTTGTATACCAGTATAGGAGGGATGGAACTACCTAAAAAATACAAGGCGAACTTTGAACTCTTTATAATCCTTATCAATCTGAATCTTCTGAACATTGAAATTGACTAAATTTAATAAAGTTAGACATAGCATGCCCCAAGATAGAACCGATCATGTTTTAAATTTTGACGTGCTACAGATAATTTTGTCATTGTAATTGAATACGGTTGCAATTTTTAACCAATGGAGAAAACTAAATATAAACTTTACGTCAAGCAGATTCTACATATTTGGGCATGATGAAGGTGCACTTTGCCCAGCTAGTGTCGATCACAAGATGGGTCGTGTTTGGGCATGTTACGTTTAATGTTTGCAGAGCGCTTCATGTTTGCAATCGCAAGTCTGCAAGTGGGTGCATCCATGTAAACGATACATGCCCTTGAAGCTAAATTTTGTTATGCCATCTGTGTGGTCTTCGCTACGATCATACAAGCATATAAGCACAAGCCCAATGGTATTGATTT